TCGCGTGGCAGCTCGAGGGCGGGGCGCGTCTCGCACGAGCCCGTTGCCGGCCGGCCCACGGCAAAACCGGTTGGTCGAGCGGGCGGTCGGGCGGTCGGGCGGTCGGGCGGTCGGGCGGTCGAGCGGACAGACGGACCGGCGCCTGTCGACGACGGCTGGCGCGAGATCTCCACATGCGATGCGGGCCTTGCTGCCCCGTCAGCGGCGATTGCGACATCGAGACGACGGCGGGGAGGCCCTGTCGACGTGCGCGCTCGAGTCCTCAGCTTGCCTCCTTCTTGCCATCCGGACAGATCCCTGCCTACCTTCCATCAGCACCAACGCCGGCCACCACCTGCTTTCGGTCCATGTCCCTTCGCACCGTCACCCTCTTGGCACCTCCACGCACCTTTGCCCGCGACACGACCCGCCTGGCCTCAGTTGCTTCTTGGCCGCTCCGACGACTCTCGACGCATCGCCTCGCTCCGCAACCCGTCCCCCTCTTGCCTCGTCAGCGGCCCCGGTCTTTGACCTCTCGCCCTTTGCCCAGCATGTCGACCCACACGCCCTTTCCCTCGTTTTCCACCGTCAACTTCTACGCCGGATCCAAGCTCAACCGCCTCTCGTGGCTCCGCACCTCGTCGGCCTTTCTCAACAGCGCCATCTCGTCGGACGCCACCCGCTTCGTCGTCCTCAACAACCTCGACCCGCTCGTCCACAAGGCAGGCGACAAGGAAGGCGGCCTCGCCACCCTCTCCTGGGCCGAGGTGCGCGACACGATCGAGCAGAGCAAGCAGCTCTGCGGCGGCACCGGCCCGGGCATCTTTGGGCCCGACGTCTACCGCCTCGAGAACCGCGCGGGCGAGCAAAGACAGAAGGAGTTTGCGCGCGCCACCGACGGGCTCGGGCCCAGCAACCTCGCCCTCGTCTTTCTCGGCATCGACGAGTCTGACCTCGCCGCCACCTCGCTGCCCGGCCAGATGGCCCAGGACGCCTCCAACAACGCCGACAAGGCCGCAAACGACGACGACGCCAATGCGCCCGCTGGCAGACCCTACTTTGCCCTCTCGCTCAGCTTTGTCCCGCCCACCAACGGTGCTGGCGCTGGCGCTGGTACTGCCTCGGAGCAGCTGCCCACCCGCAAGCTCCTGGACAAGCTCAAGGCCGATGACAAGTACGACTTCCTCGACATGCGCGCCAATTCGGCCACCAAGTCGTGGCCGCTCGAGGATGCCGCCGTCGTGGCACAGGCAAAGAGCCTGGTCGACTGGAACGAGAGGTGCCAGGTGAGTACAGGCCTCGTCCTTCTCCCCGTGCGCGTGCTGCCGTGCGAGTGCCGTGCAGTGCGGTCCATTCTCGAGGTTTCGCACGCAATGCTAACGACCCTCCCCTGCTGGCCCTGCCCGCACCCTTCCGCGCGCCGTCCGCAGTACTGCCCCGCCTGTGCCCGCCGCCAGTATTCGCTCTGGTCGGGCTACAAGCGCGGCTGTTCGTCGTCGCTCGCACCCTACGCCCCTCCTACCTCCTCCTCCTCCTCCTCCTCCTCATCGCCGTCATTCACGCAGCCATTCGAGTCGACATCGACCGACATCTGCCCGTCGACGCAGGTGCTGAGCAACTTCCACTACCCGCGCACCGACCCCGTCATCATCATGGCCATCATCAGCGCCGACGGCAACAGCGTGCTGCTGGGCCGGCAGAAAAAGTGGCCGCGGGGCTTCGTCAGCTGCCTCGCTGGCTTCTGCGAGCCCGGCGAGTCGTTTGAGGAGGCCGTCAGGAGGGAGGTGCTCGAAGAGGCCGGCGTCAAGGTCAATGAGGTCGTCTACCATTCCAGCCAGCCCTGGCCGTACCCTACCAATTTGTGAGTGTGCACGGCGCTGCCGGGGGGGGGGGGGGGNGGGGGNGGGCGTGGCGNGCGCG